TCTATAGGCTTATAGGCATCCCTATAGGTCACCTATAGAAAATGTTCCAATTGCCTATAAAAACCTATAGGTTTCCTATAGGAACCTATAGGTTGGCCTATAGGCCAGGCCTATAGACTTTTTTTGTAAGGGAAATATTAATGTATAGCCACATTTCAATCCCTACAACAAACGGATATTACTTATAGCTGTATATAATACTCACTGCAGCCCAGGAATTGCAGAATATTGCTGCCATATTGAATTCTACCAAGCTGGAGTCAGGGACTAGATTCGACTTAAAGATTTTTAAAACGTTTTATGATTGGGGGGGGGGGGGTTGTGGTTGAGATAAAGTGCAGCCACAATAATTTATTATAGTACCAGTGTACCAATTTCCCAAACCAAGCACAGAAGGGCATATATGTGTTCAGGGCTTCATCCCCCCCCCCTCAATAGTTTTCATGATAGCTCCTCCCCAACTGCACAGTGATTTCACGGTCGGCAGTTTCAGATTCACATTCGGATATGAAAATAGATCTGTGTCTGGCGTATAAAATGCCGAATTACTCAATCATTTTCTACGCAATAAACTTGTTAATCAATTTCATTCTTCTTCAGAACATTACGCATTCAACAAATGTATTTTGAAGGCTTTAACGCAAAATGTGAAATCAGGAAAAATCGCAAAAAACAGACGATCAAGACGCGAATTCAAGACACGAACAGTTTTACAATGTATTAAATATAATGGTACGTACCATGAATATCTTTGAGAAATTAGATTTTAAGAATATCGGAAGTTTCTGGTAAACTTAGCAAACAAGCCCGCCTGACTAGCCTTATTTTGGTGAGCGGCCCAGCGGAAATTCCATACAAATGTATAGTAAAAACAAAATTTTCAAAACGCCGTAACTCGTGCCCTGAATGTCCAAACATCATGAAATTTTCGGTATAGACTAATTTGCGCTATGCAGATTTCAATTCTGAGGTCCATTTTTATCAAAGATCTGTAGATAGTGAGATAAAAATTGAAGACGTCAACTCGGATGATTCGGAGAATATTTGGCCTATAAAAGCGAACTTTCCCATAACCGTGTGGGGCCGTGGGCTATTAAATACGGTAGTCAACTTTAAAAATAACACAGAATTTGAAGCTATGAAAATTACCTCGAAAATTATCAACTATTAAGGCCTGACGTCTTTGGTAGGGAGGCAGAAGAAGAGGTTTTGTAAATAACGCCATATTGACATGGCGTCTTTTTGGCAGGTATATTTAACGTATATTCGACCTTCCCAAACATTGCCAAGTATGCCGGAAAAATTTCGTGAGAAAATATAAAGGGCTCATATACAAAATAAAATTATTCTAAAAGCATACCACAACAAAGTTTTCACTGAACATGACAATACAAATTTGGAAAAATCGAAGATTTTACAAACAGACAAACTATTAAAGAGGCGTAGCCCCATCTAACTCTCAACTATAACAATCAATTACTTTTAAATTTTTTATATTGTCACATTTATCATCTCACCAAAATATCTAGCTAGTTCCGTTCTGTTACTTCTTCACAATCAATTGCAGCAAATAAGGTTGTTGGGGTCTTACTTTTTCGTTTTTTCATAAGGCCTATAGCCGTCACCCGCCCGCGTGTGTTATTGGCGGCCGCGTGAAATTTTCATTATTTCAATATTTTTTCATTATTTGCTAAATTTGTATAGCAAGTGTTTCAAAAATGGCTTTCTGTTGAAATTGTTGGCAAATACTGACTTTGTTTATACAGTTAGCGAAGCCATGGGGAAACGGAGTCAAGGACATAGCTGAATAAGCTGATATAGCTCGGAAGCTAGCAAAAAGCTCAAGAATCGTCAACATTTTCTTGGATTTTTTCGGTCGAAATTCGAAATTTTTAGCTCAAAATTTGACAAAATTCATATGGTGAAAAATAATAAATAATGAAAAAAATCCGCATAAACTTTTGAAATTTTAGGTGGCCAGACGGTCTGATACCTTATTAAATTCCATCGGCCTAAAACTGCATGTCTCGTTTCCAGATTGAATTTACGTAAGTAATATCGATTTGTTATGGATTTCCCATACAAAATCCTTGAAACATCTTATACTTACCTTTTGCGACATACTTTTGCAGGTCTGAGGTTCGACAACTTCTGCAACTGTTCAAAGCTTGCTGAACGATATCATTCACAAACGTTCTGCTTGGCTTCTTGCCTCAAAATGACACGACTAGCGAATTTACGGAGTTTTACGGACGCTTCACGATCACACGACAATTACCGTAAATGGCCTTGGATACACAGGAATTGCAGGAACAGGGATTACAGGAACAGGAATTACAGGAACAGGAATTACAGCAACAGGAATTACAGCAACAGGAATTACAGGAACAGGAATTACAGGAACGGGAATTACTGGAACTACAGGAATTGAAAGATTAACAAGTTATTTTCACTACTTATTTATTTAATCTTCGTCAGTTTCCGAGAGGAATAATTATTTAAATAAATAAATAAATAAATAACGTTCTCACAAAAACCACTAATTCTTTGTAAAACGCATTGAATACAACGTAATCAAGTTGTGTGCTTGATTTACACAGTACAACTCGATCAGGTTGTAAGCAGGCTGCATGCGAGAGTTTTGGGCAAAAGTTGTGTAAAACGATGGCGTCGTCCAAGTCGAACCGCAAAACTCCTAAAGTGGTAAATTTGTCGCTCAAGATTTGCACGCGGGAGATTGATTTTATATAGCATATGGTTAACTTTTTGGGCGCCTTGTGACCACTTTTCAGAGGACCGCTTTTGAACTTCAACGGAGTTCGTAAATAACATGCAAATATGTTCTACTGGAAATGGCGCTTTTATGATCAAGAAAATTTACTATTGTTGACTATAGTCTATGCTTCAAGTTGTAAAGTCTGTAAAGGTAGAATCAACAACATTTTTGAACGAACACAAAATACCAGATTATTAACCTGATCCTGGCGAATGAAAACATAAGGGCCTGATACTCAGGTTACCAGATTATTCACTTGATTCGCTTGTTTGGCTATTTATAGACTATAAAAATAATATTTTACATGTAATACTCGCATTATTCGGTAATGTCTGCAGACAAGCTCACAAAGGTGTAAGATTTGGGCTAAATTATTCTTCTTTACCTTACTTTGCAGTTCTAAAGCAGGCTTGGGCATTTACAGTGCTTTTTAGCACTCTATATTTACCGTTCATACTAATCAAAATGTTATTTATTACGCAATCTTCTATACTTTCCCTTGTCGAATATCGTCGATTGTTTACGAACTTCGTGAGGTTCAAAAGCGGTCACGAGTTTGCAAAAAGTTCGTCACGTGGTACATAAAATCATGTTGTTCCTGAAAATCCTGCGATTCTAGAAGTTCCTGTAATTCCTGTTCCTGTATATTTCCCTGTATTTTGTGGGTTTCCAAACACCTCTAGTCGAAGATAGCTTATTGATCTAGGAACAGAGCCTCTTTCCTCCACAGAGCTTCCCGGAAACTTGCTAGGATATTTCCTAAGAAAAAAAAAGGAAATCAGAGGTTGGGAATTTAAATGAATTTCCAGGAAAAAAGAAGGGAATTTATTTTCAAGGCTTTTTCATTTAGTAAAATTGCTGTGTAAATATTTACTGAACGCTCAGGGTGTAAACCTGTGTTCTTTATCCACAAGCACTGAGCTATCAGTTTTTAGCCCTGAACTGGTACCCGATCGAGCTAGTTCAATTTGCCGAGGCCAAGACTTTGGAAGCTGCTCGCCAAAACAAAACGTTACTGCCACTGGTCTCACTGCTAAAATAGTATAATATATATTTTCTCACGAACGCGAAATTCGAACTTTCGCGAGCAACTTTTGCAGTTATAACCCACAGAATCGTTCACAGAGGCCTTTTAACTTTAAGATCAAAATCTGTAGAGAAAATTTTATTTACAACAATACATTCGCGTGAACAGAGCAATATAACACTCAGGGCCTGTTTATATGGAGGCGAGTTACCCGGCAAGGCGAGTTACTCGCCCAGGCGGTACAAACTTAACCGTGGTTTATATGGTCTATGGAAACAAATTAATGCCGCATGAAGCAGAAATGGCGCCAAAACACAAAAAGGATTTATAGTAAGTGGTTTGAAACGTTCTAAAAATATTACAAAATGTCGTCAAAATGAATAAGCGCCGAGAAATTCAGGACAACTTATCTATCGATTCGTATATGATTTTTGAGCTGTTCTATTTCTAATGCAAAGCACATAATTCTATCTTGGGCAGCCAAGTCACCAGGGCAAAGTGTTTACATGGTAATATATTCATCACCCCTAGGTGATATCCCACCTCTTTCTGCCAGGAACTCGCCAAGGCGAGTTACTCGGCTGCATCATGTAAACATGCAGTCACCTGAGATTTAACTATGAGTTTTTATAATAGCCGTATCTCGCCTTTAGTCCTTTACCAAGTAACTCGCCTTGCCGGGTAACTCGCCTCGATCCATATAAACAGGACCTAAAAGCCTGCTTAGCCTTAGGTGAGCCAGCCCGGGTCATTGTGTTTATATGGGAAATTCCCAGCCCGGTCACCCGAGATCTTATTTTATTTTTTTTATTTTATTTTAACAACTTTATTGGTTAATATTTATAAATATGTACAAATACATTTGAAAATAACCAATCGGCAAAGGCGCGAACGGGACTGAAGTACCCATGCGAGGCGCCTTCCCGTTAAAATATAACGTTAAAATAACATAGGTCAACATAAGACTAAAATAGTAAATTATACTGTATGTAAAGCCAATTCTCAATGGCAAGATATCTTATATATATCTTGGGTCAGTCAAGGCGGGATCTCGCTTACGCAGGCCAGCTCGGTTCCCATATAAACACAAAATGAAATTTAGTTGGAAATAATAACAAAGGCGGAATCTCTCCTAAATACCCCCTTATTCTGCGGTGTCAGAATAACATGAAACTAGTTTCTCATATCTCTGAGGATGGTTCTGAAATAGAATTCAAACACTGCATGTCCTCTAAGACAAGTCGCCACAAAAATATTTCTCCGCTACCAATCCCTGTTGACTTGACAGCTCAATGGGAAGAGCGGCGGTCTGCTTGAGGCAGTGTCAGAATAATATGAAACTAGTTTTCATATCTCTGGGGATGGTTCTGAAATAGAATTTGCCTGGTTAGGTACAATAAGGAAATGATTACAGATTTGGTTGGTTTGGTCCAGCTGTGTATTTGTCCGCCTACGAGCGTGGAAGAACCTCTGGCACCCAGGGTACTCAGGGATGGATCCAGCATGATGTAGTAGGGGGGGGGGGGTGTTTCTCTGCCAGCT